CGCTCAAATCACTACGATACGCATGTCTATACAATAAGTCCATCGATATTTTTTACAGCTTTCTATCAAAAATCTATATTGCGTATCGCGTCCATACTTCTATTTCTGTTTTAGTAATCAACGGCGTGTTGAAAATGTTTTTCTTGTGTTGACAACAGATATATACATATTTGTCGTCAATCCTTCCCCTTTCGTTGTCGTCGTAAAAGCCAACCTATGGACTAAATATTTAACAGAGATCGGACAATCACATCATCAGCCTATAAGTGGCTACTGCTGACCAAAAATCTTATCTCACACGGAGTAGGTTTGAGCATTAATTACAATGCGGGTTAACAATTTCAAACTTATAATTAGAAATTATAAGCCCAGGTTTCCTCACGATGTTTTCCTTCACCGTTTGTCAGTGGTGTCTAAATAATCTTAGAAAGTATATATAACTCGGAAAAAGTCACATTGGTACTTGTTAAAACTTAAACCTCCGCGCGCGCCTAAAAGAGCCATCAGACCACCACGAATGGGGCCCAACAGGGCTGATTCGGGGTCGCGGAGAACCTAACAGATTATCGGGGCTCCGGCTCGAAGCGCAGGAGAAGTAACAGGGTGGTTTTTAGTCAGTAAGAGACTGACACTCCCTCCCGCCTTATCCAGGCGGGAGCAGTCATTCGATGATTTTCCCCCCTTAAAAAAAACCCTAGCCACCACGACAATGTACCTAATGTTAAACAAAGTGTCTTTTAACAACGCTATTTTTTGTAATCATTGGTCGGTTCAGTAGACAACTAATGGTAACTCAATCTGGACTGGTCTCTACTGAATCTTAATTTTCATACCTGTATACTAAATATGTCGTTGAGGCCTGGAGGTTTAAGACTCCCGCTTCTCATGCATGAGGGTGCTGGCTCAGATCCTACCAACAGCAAGTACCAATGTGATATTTTCCGAGTTATATGTAGGTACATTCTAAGATTATCTAGACACCACTGACAAACGGTGAAGGAAAACGTCGCGAAGAAACCTGGGCTTATAATTTCTAATTACAAGTTTGTGATAACCTACCCGCATTGAGCAAGCGTGGTGATTAATGCTCAAACCTTCTCCGTGTGAGAAGAGGCCTTTGCCCAGCAGTGGACATTTATAGGCTGTTGATGGATACTAAATAACTTGGTTGACTGTACATTGCACATTTAAGAAAATATAATGAGAATAACTATTCTCTCGACTCGACTACTTCTTTTTTTTTATGGCATTAGCCGGTAAACGAGCAGACGGATCACCTGATGGTAAGCAATCGGCGTCGCCCATGGACACCTGGAACACCAGGGGTGTTACAAGTGCGTCACCGGCTTTTTGGGGATTAGGAGTTTGAGGATCGTTGGGGATTCAGGGATTGGGGAGATTGGGGAAGGGGAAGGTAATTGGGCCTCCGGTAACCTCATTCAAACGACGAAACACAACGCAAGCGTTGCTTCACGTCGGTTTTCTGCTCGGCCGTGGTATCACTCCGGTCGAGCCGGCCAATTCGTGCCGAAGCATGGCTCTCCCACATTTAATTGAATCTCATTAATATCCAATTACAATCAAATAATAACTTAATTTGAATTCATTGTGAGCCAATAAAAAGTCCAGACGTGTAAAATAAGATGCATTATGTACGTGTATGTACCTACAGATAATTAAATTCGTCTGTCTATCTGTTTTTTGCAGTCTGCTATTCGAATTGTGTTTTTTATCTATTTCTAATGAGCTGTGTGGTGTTGTGGCTTCTCGTTGTCTGTGTCTAATTTGTTTTAGGACAAGCTCGCCACGAGCTCCCGAAACCGTTGCAGCTGAACATGGTGGTGAGGAAAACACCGTGAACATACCAGGGTGCTTACTCTTGAAACCAATCTCAATGTCAATGCAATCCAATGAAAACTCAATAATTATTTAATGTCAAAACCATATAACCCCTATCGTAGCTGTTATAATAGCATTCAGAGTATAGAATATTAAACCAAACTCAATACCATTTAGTTCATTAAATATCCACGCAATACGGATGCAATGGGCGCTAGTGTTACAGCTCAAGAGTACGAAATTTCACAATACCAATGTCGATCGATCGGAATTGGATTCAAGAGTAAGCCCCCTGGGCTTTATTATTAAATTGCTTTTTTATGGCATAAGCCGGTAAACGAGCAGACGGATCACCTGATGGTAAGCAATCGGCGTCGCCCATGGACACCTAAAACACCAAGGCGTTACAAGTGCGTTACCAGTCTTTTCGGGATCGGGAATTTGAGGATTATGGAGGATTCGGGTATTGGGGACACTGGGGAGGGGGGTAATTGGGCATCCGGTAACCTTACTCACACGACGAAACACAACGCAAGCGTTGCTTCACGTCGGTTTTCTGCTCGGCCGTGGTATCACTCCGGTCGAGCCGGCCCATTCGTGCCGAAGCATGGCTCTCCCACACTTGGCTTGAAACTAGTCAAATTCCTCGTCAAACAGTTACGTGAATAAGACGAAAATATAATAATCAATTTAGTATGTTTCACGAGAGTTATAATATAATTTAAGTGTGGGAGAGCCATGCTTCGACACGAATGGGCCGGCTCGACCGGAGTGATACCACGGCCGAGCAGAAAACCAACATGAAGCAACGCTTGCGTTGTGTTTCGTCGTGTGAGTGAGGTTACCGGAGGCCCAATTACCTTCCCCTTCCCCAATCTCCCCAATCCTTGAATCCCCAACGATCCTCAAACTCCTAATCCCCAAAAAGTCGGTGACGCACTTGTAACGCCTCTGGTGTTCCAGGTGTCCATGGGCGACGCCGATTGCTTACCATCAGGCGATACGTCTGCTCGTTTACCGCCTTATGCCATAAAAAAAATATAATAATATATTAGTACAGATGTGTTATTTTTTTATTAATTAATCATAATATATCGTGGCTTCAATAAATTATAACTTCAGTACAAAAGTATGAAGTCATTATAATTATGAATTGTACCAAATTACACTTTCATTCATAGCTAGCTCAATAATTTCAACCTAGGACCGAATGTAGGTCGTAAATTATAGTCTAGTGCTTCGGAATAACTTTCAAAATTATTATAATAATGTAATTTTAACGAGTCTAGACTGAAATTTTGAGCTAGATCATTAAAATATAATAAATAGGTGGATTTCGTGTTCGTATATTTTATGTTAGATTTTTTGTTTTTTTAGCATCACATAACATCACGCCTTTTATCCCCGAAGGGGTAGGCAGAGGTGCACATTATGCCACTGTACCTCTACAATGTAATACCCACTTTCACTATTTATGTTATGAGTCCCATGTAGGTAATAGGGGGTGAGCCTATTGCCATTATACCGGGCACAATTCCAGACTCCGTGCTACCATTGAATTTTTTTAAATCCCAGTAACACTTTGTCCGGCTCGGGAATCGAACCAGCGAACCCTTGCTCGGCAGCCGCACTTGCGACCACTCGGCCAACGAGGCAGACATTTTTTTAGGTATGTTGATATCGTCGATGCATGGTCTAGTCTAGTGTGTGGACTGTTAGGTCTCAAGGTCTATTCTCGAGTTAGATTAAAAGAAAAGATTTGATGATTGCGTCGTTGGCCGAGTGATCGCCCGTGTGACTGCCGGGCAAGGGTTCTCGGGTTCGATACCCGGGTCGGTCAAAGTGTTTCTGGGTTTTTAAAATAAAATTCTCAGTAGTAGCACGGAATCTGGAATTGTGCCCGGTATGCGACAATAAGCTCACCCCTAATTACATGGGATTCATAACATAAATAGTGAAAAAAGGGTGTTACATTGTACACAGTGGCAATAAGTGCCGTAACTTGCAACTCTCTGTACCCCTTCGGGGGTAAAAGGCGTGATGTTATGTTATGTTATTTGATGAACTTCAACCGTAGTTAATTTATTTTTATATTTTTTAATTGGGGAATATTATCCAATGACTTCTCCCGCCGTGGGTGAGGCAAGAGGGAGTGTCAGTCTCCTACTGACTAGACACCATCCCTAATCTTACTTCGAGCTGGAGCCCCGGTGGCTAATAACTACTTCAAAAAATAAGTGAAATTTGAAACACAATACAATTTTCAAAGTAATCACTGTTCCTGTCAGTCGTTTATCACCGTCGGCATCTCCGAAACGCTAATGACAAGAATAGGAGCACAGAATAAAAAAGTATTGTGCTGACACGCAACAATTGTCTGTGGTTTTTTTTGTATCTGTGGCCATTAGTTGGTCGTTTACGAGGTTGGCATTGACATACATACATATATAATATTATAGTTGTTTTGGTTTAAAGGGATAGAGGTTTGGAAGTGAAGATATTGAGTGATAGAGTTTCAAGTTCGATGCTTGGGTTCGGTAAAAGAGCAAAGGCGAAGTCTAACGTGCGACTTCATTAATATCCTGAGAATGTTCCTCTGCTGACCAAAGGTCTCTTCTCATACAGAGAAGGTTTGAACATTAATCACCACGCTTGCTTAAGGCGAGAAATTATAAGTCCAGGTTTCTTCAAGATCTAAAAGATCTTAGAAAGTACACATATCTTAGAAATAATCGTTTTGGTACCTGCTGGGTTTCGAACCCCAGGTGCGGCCTTAAACTCCGGGTCATCACGAACCACAACACTTTTAGTTTAAAAGCTGAAAGTGTGGGAGAGCCATGCTTCGGCACGAATGGACCGGCTCGACCGGAGTGATACCACGGCCGAGCAGAAAACCGACGTGAAACAACGGTTGCGTTGTGAGAGTGAGACTACTGGAGACCAAATTACCCCCGCCCGCTTCCCCAATCTTTCCAATCCCTGAATCTTCAACAATTCTCAAACTCCTAATCCCCAAAAGGCCGGTAACGCACTTGCACGCCTCTGGTGTTCCAGGTGTCCATGGGCGACGCCGATTGCTTACCATCAGGTGATCCGTCTGCTCGTTTACCGCCTTATTCCATAAAACAACTAATATAATGTTTAAATTAAAATCATCATACCTTAGCAGAGCTGACAGCGATTTTGAACACCAGCAGAGCTAGTCCGATGGCTACGGACTTAGCAGCCATGATGCTGGTGAGTATCATCCAGGTGGATGTGGCTCCCACGTGGAACACCAGCGGGATCATTGCCATACCCATTTTCTTCATGCTTTTACCATCTGTTAAAAGGCAACATATTTATTTACATATCGATACTAAGTGTCTTGTAAAGACCATCTCTTATCTGTGTATCTGGGCAGGACCTGCGGGAAAACGAAGCGAAGGCAGACCACATAAACGTTGGGCTGATGATATAAAATAACATAACATAACATTACACCTTTTTATCCCCGAAGGGGTAGGCAGAGGTGCACATTACGTCACTTAATGCCACTGTACAATGTAACACCCACTTTTTACTATTTATGTTATGAGTCCCATGTAATAGGGGGTGAGCCTATTGCCATATACCGGGCACAATTCCATACTCCGTGCTACCACTGAGACTTTTGAAAAATCCCAGTAATACTTTGCCCGACCCGGGAATCGAACCCGAGACCCCTTGCCCGGCAGTCGCACTTGTGACCACTCGGTCAACGAGGCAGCAGAGATATAAAATAATATAATCAATATACTATGTATAATTATATTACGTCTAAGTAATATATGTAATATAATTGTGTAAGTTTATTGTTGTATCATATAAATGTAAGTTTATATAGGGATTTATTTTATGTAAGTCTATACTATCCTTTTTTTATGCATTTCTGTTGAGTCTTAAATACGCTTGCTTCTTGCATAGACCATTGTTTTTGTCTCTGCATCACCCAAAGATCTGGCTGCAGGAGAATGCGCTAGGCATTAAGCCCAACTTGTACATTCGTGTGTGCATGAAGTCTTTTAAAATAAAAAAATAAAAGTGAGCAGGTAAAGGCTGGTTGAAACACTCTCAAAACAGGGATAAATGGAAGGAATTAGAGGAGGCTTTTAGCCAAAAGGGGTGCGTGTTAAAGAAACAACGAGAGAATAATCCTTACTATATATATATATATATATATATCCTTATATCCTTATCCTTATCCTTATTATTAATATTATAAATGGGAAAGTGAGTTTGTTTGTTTGTTTGTTTGTTCCACTTTCACGCCGTAACTGTAACTACTAAACCGATTGCTTTGAAATTTTGCAGACGTAAAGTTAGAAGTCTGGATTAAATAATAGGGTACTTTTTATCCCGGAAAAATGTATATTATCGAGGGAAAACGAAATTATTGGTATAGATGGCGCTGTGTGTATCCTTACTATCCTTATCCTTACTAATATTATAAATGGGAAAGTGAGTTTGTTTGTTTATTCCACTTTCACGCCGTAACTACTAAACCGATTGCTTTGAAATTTTGCAGACGTAAAGTTAGAAGTCTGGATTAAATAAAAGGGTACTTTTTATCCCGGAAAAATGTATATTATCGAGGGAAAACGAAATTATTGGTATAAATGGCGCTGTGTGTATTGGTATATGTCACATAGGCTACTTTTTATCCTTTTGTGACGCGAGCGAAGCCGCGGGTAAAAGCTAGTATTATTAATAACAAACTTACTTACTACGATTATAAAATAACTTAATTTAAGAAATTACTAATGTCCTTACTTTGAATTGTTAATATACTTTTACACTGAAATAAAAAAGTTTTATTTTTATTATTATTATATATTATATTTACATAGTATAAAACAAAGTCGCTATCCGCCGTCTGTCTGTCCCTATGTATGCTTAGATCTTTAAAACTACGCAACGGATTTTGATGCGGTTTTTTAAATAGATAGAGTGATTCTTAAGGAAGGTTTATATGTAGAATACATGCATATTGCACCCGTGCGAAGTCGGGGCGGTTCGCTAGTGTCAGATAAAACATGTAAAGTTAGTTATCAATCTAAATTCAGATGGGAATTGCAAATTGAATTTCAGAGATCACGGATACATTACCTCAAAGTAGGCTACAGAGCAGTGAAATCTAGGATACAAAGAGCTATTTCTAAAATTAGTCTAGGTATTCACGCTTTCTATCTTTGCCGGCACGAATGCAATTGTCATAATTAAAATATTTGTGTTTGGGACTAAAATGACTTGTGCGAAATTATTAAATAAACGTTATATTATGTGAATTATTTTAAATTAAGCATAATTATTCATTTTAAGTGCAACGAGCACATTTCACCAATTATCTTATGAGTCGCATGTTCCTAATAATATAACATCACGTCTTTTATCCCCGAAGAGATAGGCAGAGGTGCACATTATGCCACTGTACAATGTAACACTCATGAGCTTATTGTGGTACCGGGCACAATTGTAGATGCTTAGACTTTTTTTTAAAACCAGTAATACTTTGCCCGACCCGGGAATCGAATCCGAGACCCCTTGCCCCGCAGTCACATTTGCGACCACTCGGCCAACGAGGCAGTCGTGTTCCTAATTATTCTGGTTTTATTTATTTCATGGATATAAATAATTCCTTAGTTTTGTTTTATTTTTTACTAGCGGACCCCACAGACGTTGTCCTGCATATCCACTTGAATGTATAAACAAAAATTCGTTGAAATTATTTCAGCTGTTTAGGATAAATAAAAAAAATCAAAAAAAAAAAAATCAAAAAATGTTTATTTCGTTATTACACGTTAACACAAAGTTACACAGTTGGTGGCGTCTCCTTTTAAGCATATAAATGCCTGTACCAGGAGGCGCCGCTCTTTTATATCATACAAGTGTAATACGTTACAATAGTGAAAATGAATAATTGAAAGTCTTCTAGTAATATCATAAGTCTGTTGGTGTGTGTGTGTGTGTGTGTGTGTGTGTGTGTGTGTGTGCGTGTGTGTGTGTGTGTGTGTGTGAAAAATAACCAATATATAAATAACCTAAACATCGACTGCAGCGCCATCTGCCGGGCTGATTTGTGAATCTAAACCATTCCCAGATCCCACACACACAACAAAATTCATCAAAATCGGTCCAGTCGTTTGAGAGAAGTTCAGTGACATACACACTCACAGAAGAATTATATATGTATATAAAGATGGGCCGACGTTAGGCCATTATCTCGCCTGATAGTAAGCAATGATGCGGTCTACGATGGAGCACGTCGTCCCATAAGCAACCTATACACTCGGGCCTTGAAGACACCCAGGTTATGATTTGCATACATAAAATCAGGCTATAATATTATCCTATGAAGATGTAGACAGAGCTGCTGTGTTTAAGAACGTACCTATTACTTTATAAAATTAAAAAAACTGCGTTTAAAATGGCGACATTTCGAAAAATACTTTTCAGTGAATTGGGAATCGATCTCAAAGCGTCGTGCGATCCTTCCTGCCTTTATGCCCAAAGTACTAGGTGGGAAATCCTTACTAATATTATGAATAGGAAAGTGAGTTTGTTTGTTTGTTTTTTCCGCTTTCACGCCGTAACTACTAAACCGATTACTTTGAAATTTTGCAGACGTAAAGTTAGAAGTCCGGATTAAATAATAGGGTACTTTTTATCCCGGTAAAAATTTATATTCCCGAGGGAAAAGAAAAGTATTGGTATAGATGGCGCTGTGTGTATTGATATATTTCACATAGGTTCCTTTTTATCCTTTTGTGACGCGAGCGAAGCCGCGGGTAAAAGCTAGTTCACTATAACTATGTTTATGGTGTTCTCATGCACCACTCTGTGGAAGAATATGTATAAACAAAGGTGGATTTTCCAGCTACTTGAGAGCCCGTGATAGACGCCAGTAGTCACGAAACGGTCTCCGTAGCCGAAACCGGCATGGAGGATTATATATGCTAGGAGGTAATAATAAAATAAGATGATAATGATAAAAGTAGACTTAGTCATTATGGATATCAAACGAAAGGGCTTTATGTTAGACGGTTTTAATGAACTCTATTCTTTAGCAGAATACAACATAAAACATATTTTTATACATATATTACGTACTTGTTTAACTAGTATCTAAATAAATACAATAATAGTACTTACCTCTAGCTTCAGCTCCGAGCTTAGGTTTTAAATCCTTATAATGGAGCATCCTGCCTAATTCACTATTCCCCAAATGCTTATCATTAAAATTCTCCAACCATTTTGCCGCGAAAAAACTAAAATCACTCAATTTATTTTCAAATTTTTCTTCTAATATCATTAACAAGTTATTTTCTTTAGCTTTTATTAGTTCAAAGTTTAAAATTGTTAAAAAAATAATGCAATATTTAATCTGTGAAGCCGCCATTTTGGGTTATTTGAGAATGCGCGCGCACGCTCGTGTTGCGTCAAACTGACTGAGTGATGTTTTGCTCTGAATGTATATTGTAAGTTTGCGAATGTACGTATATTTGTAAGTATTTTAAAAGTTTTAGTAAATGAAAGGGCGACTGTTATCGTTTTAAATCTTAAAAGAAGTAGGAGAAAGAGCCCATACACATATTAAACGTGAAATATATGTGTTATGTCCATAGATATAAATAAAGTATTTCTGTCTGTAGTGGATATGTCGATTCAATTTCAGATATTTAGATAAGTAATTTAGATTTCTGATTAGTAGCTTTTTTATGACATACTTAAGCCGGTGAACGAGCAGACGGATCACCTGATGGTAAGCAATCGGCGTCGCCCATGGACACCTGGACCTGGAACACCAGAGGCGTTACAAGTGCGTCACCGGCTTTTTGGGGATTAGGAGTTTTAGGATCGTTGGGGATTCAGGGATTGGGGAGATTGGGGAAGGGTCCTCCGGTAACCTCACTCACACGACGAAACACAACGCAAGCGTTGTTTCACGTCTGTTTTCTGCTCGGCCGTGCTCCGTGGTATCACTCCGGTCGAGCCGGCCCATTCGTGCCGAAGCATGGCTCTCCCACACTTAAAAGGAGTATTCTATTTTATTTTTTCTGTGGAGATTCGTTGATAGCCCCTATTACCTTGTAACAGAGAGTAAGGTTATTTTTTTTTATTGATGACGACTGGGGAATCATGGCGGGTACCTACGACCTACGTAGTTAAAAAAAGAGAAGGGTAAATCACCGAAAGAGTAGAACACTTATACCTCTGTCTGGGTAGTTGTCTTAGGGGCGGACTTCGTCAAAAATTTGCGAGTTATGTATGCCTGCTGCCGCTGTATCGGTCGTGCGTCGTCGCATGGGATTGACCACTTATTCAAATTTTCGCGTGGTTTCAAAAAACGGGACAATTTAGCGTCTCAGACTTCATTTCGGGGATAACGGGACTCCAAATTATAAGAGGGGACAATCCCGTTCATAACGGGACGTCTAGCCACGTTAGATATGATGCAGGTTAAATTCTACATTTATTTTGTGTGATCAACTAAATTGTTAAAATTTTCTATAAGGCCACCAACTTTACTCCGCATGACCACCCGGTCATGGGAGGTGCCAATAGCTTACCATCAGGAGATCCGTGAGCTCGTTTGGAGACTTACCCGTAAAAAGTCGGTTTAAGAAGTCAAACATTTAAATTTTTGTTGTTGACGTTCAAAAGTGCCTTCCTGATCTAATTGCTAAATGATTTTGACTGTGACTTTGACTTTAAAAAAGATTTTGTTTATTATCTAGACACTTAACATAGCATATCACGTCTCTTATTCCCAAAGGGGTAGGCAGAGGTGCACATTACGGCACTCAATGCTACTGTACAATGTAACACCCACTTTTCACTATTTATGTCATGAATCCCATGTAATATAATCTATATAGTTAACTAAAATTGGAGTATGTATCTGTTTGTAATATTATAACAACCGTTTTTTACTACATGCATATGAATATACATACGATATTTGTCATACTTTTTTGTCTGTCTGTCTGTTTGTACCTCCTCATTAATATTTCTGGAATGGCTAGACCAGTTTGACGGCTTTTTTTTTTTTTTTAAGGGGGGAAAATCATCGAATGACTGCCCCCGCCTGGGTGAGGCGGGAGGGAGTGTCAGACTCTTACTGACTAAAAACCACCCCGTTCCTTCTCCTGCACGTCGAGCCGGAGCCCCGGTTACCCGTTAGGTTCTCCGCGACAGTTTGACGGCTAGCTGATGTACCTACTAAGGAGTAACATAAGCTACTTCTATTTTGGAAAATTTAAACAGAAAGAGTTAAGTTTAAGTTTAATTATTGTTTACATAACATAACAAAACATCACGCCTTTTATCCCCGATGGGGTAGGCAGAGGTGCACACAGAAGTAACACCCACTTTTCACTATTTATGTTATGAGTCCCATGTAATAGGGGGTGAGCCTATTGCCATATAGGTACCGGGCACATTCACATTTAATGATTGTTTATTCACTCATAAAGAACATGGTTCACTTACAATGAGCTTAAACTACTAATTATAGCTAGGTATACAGAGTTATGACCAAACGGTATTACCTAATAAATATTTTCAGATACATATTTTCTTAACCTATGTTTGAACATGGCAATTGACTGACATTCCTTAATATTGTTTTGGCAAATTATTATACAATTGTGCTCCCTCATATGTTATACATCTTTTACCGTAAGTTAAGTCCTAAACTCATATTCTATGCGGTCGAAGTGGCGGGCAATAGCTAGTCTATCATAAAAGTTAACTAGCGCTGAAAAATTGTTATTTATGCGTAATATTATTACTGAAAACTTAACTTTTTAAATTCTTGTTCAGAGTTTGTTTTTACTGTGTTGACTGCCTCGTGCGACTGCCGAGCTAGGGGTCTCGGGTTCGGTTCCCGGGTCGGGCAAACTATTACGGGGTTTTTAAAAAAATCTCAGTAGTAGCACGGAGTCTGGAATTGTGCGCGGTATATGGCAATAGGCTCACCCCCTATTACATGGGACTCGTAACATAAATAGTGAAAAGTGGGTGTTACATCGTACAGTGGCATAATGTGCACCTCTGCCTACCCCTTCGGGATAAAAGGCGTAATGTTATGAGTATGTGTGAGTTAGTTTTTATTGGGTAAAATCATGTTTAATTCAACGTATTTGGTCTCAAAAATACACCAAAAATATTAAGTGTTATAATTGTCGCTATAATCACCCAAATTAAAAATTAATTTCATCCATAAATAACTAAAAATCTCACTATCAGCGTAGATCTAACAATAAAAATGATTTAAAACTAAAATTTCTTTCATTTTGACCATTAGAAGACATTCGCACTTCATTTTACAGCTATTTTTGGCATGCAGGTCAAGATATACCATTTTTACTTATTCCTTCAAACGACTTTCAACCTTAATACTAATAGTAATAAGGGTGAACATTCTTAGAAGATATTTGCCAGAATGGTATACGATGACTTGCCGTGGTACTTTACGCTTGGAGAGTCCTTAGCATAGATGTAATCTTAACTAGAATAAGTTAGAGATCTTATTACTAGATGAGACAAAAAATAGTAAAAATTAAATTACTGAGTTGTGAACACAGAGCCGGATTGGAGTTTGTTGCGGCCCTAGCAAAATTTGAGGGGCCTGGGAATATGAATAGTAGATGACAGTATTTGTATTGTAACTTTCGTGAGACATACTAAATAAATTATTATGTTTTCGGCTTACTCACGTAATTATTTGACGAGGAACTCGACTAGTTTCAAGCCAGCAAGCAAGCCGACTAGTTCATGAGCAGCATGAATATGAGCCTCTAGCATGGCTTGAAACTAGTCGAGTTCCTCGTCAAATTACTACGTGAGTAAGCCGAAAACATAATAGTAGATGACAGGTCTAATTTTCTGATGGTGGTGGCTATCTGTTAATCTGATATATTCGAAGATGTGTCGTCATCATCATCACCATCGTTGGCCTCTTCTCAAATGGAGAAGTTTTGAGCATTAATCAGCACCCTTGCTCAACGAAGATGTATAAGTATATATTTTTCTATTTTTTTATTATTAATTATACCTACATTTTTTTTAACCTCATAACTTTAGGGAAGTAGTCAAATACTTTACCTAATACCGTTTTTTAATGAAAATGACATCACAAACAGATGAATTTTTATGTAGAGAATGAAGTGTAAGGAATTTAAAGGAGAAAATAAGATCAATAAATGTAATAAACTGAAACTCTAACTCAGTCTTTATTTGCATGTTAAGGTAATTACATAGGTACAGGTCTTATGAAATAACAGGCACAGCTTAACGGCCTTTTTCAGGCGTTGCAAATTTTAGGAGTGTCACTAGCTTAATAAAAATTACATTTGCTTAACATTTATTTTTTTAATATATTTATTGATTTGTTCGGAATATAGGTAAGTACTTAAGTATATAATATATTAGTGGGTTGATGTAAAATATAAATGTAATAGCTAGAAAGCTTCATAGCTTTTCTTTTATAAAACTACCTATTTAGTCTATTTTCTATTTTATTTGACAGAGGGGCCCCTCTGTCATCAAATCTTTGGTACCCAAACACCCCAACATGTACTGAATCCGACTCTGTAGTTAGGCATAATTTAGATTTCAAATCTTGTTTGTTTTTTGCGACGAATTGGAATTGTAATGCAAAAAGTTGACACTTGAAAGCCTGTCATCAAGCCATCATTTTATATGTACCGCCTATATAAAGTAGAAATTAAAATCAATATTTTGAAAAAATATCAACTAAGTGAAAGTTGATCAAACACTTTCACGCGTCTTTGGATTAGGAAGTCTTGGATTCAATTCCCAGGTCGAGCAATAATTCTGAAAGATTATTTTGACATTTTTCCTTTCTCCTGTGCCGTGGGTGCGTTTATATACACATACAATTTCATATACAATACACTACTGCCTCTTGGTAATGATTGGTCGCAAGTGCGACTGCCGGGCAAGGGGTCTCGGGTTCAATTTCCGGGTCGGGCAAAGTATTACTGGATTTTTTTTAGTAGCATGGATGGATGGATTTTTTCTAGTTTACGTTGTTTTTTATTTTACACAAAACATCACATCACGCCTTTTATCTCCGAAGCGGTAGGCAGAGGTGTACATTATGCCACTATACAATGTAACCCCCACTTTTCACTATTTATGTTATGAGTCCCATGTAATAGGGGGTGAGCCTATTGCTATATACCGCGCACAATTCCAGACTCCGTGCTACTACTCTGATTTTTTTTAAAACACAGTAATACTATGCCCGACCCGGGAATCGAACCCGAGACCCCTTGCCTGGCAGTCGCACTTGCGACCACTCGGCCAATGAGGCAGTCTATTAATTTATTTAGTTAGATTGTAAAACTTTTTATTAAAAAACTAACGTAAATCAACTGTCAAAAAAG